AAGAATTTTATTTCTGTGAATCATTTCTTTAACTCTCCTCCTTTCCTTATATTGCGTATCAATGCAATTGATAGTTGCTTCAAATCCTTTTGTAAACTACCATCGAAGTATTTATGATTTTTTGTCTTTTCCTTGCCTTGTACTCCTGATAGATGAGTATGAAGTTGTTTATACGTATACGATAAAGTACCGTTTTTCTTATACTCCGTATCAATACACGAGTTCAATGCTTCAAATCCTTGAGTAAACTTCCATCCAGTTACTTATGATTTTTTGTCTTTTCATGCTTTGCTCCACTGATAGATGAATATAAATATCAAATCGTTGTTTTAAACTCCAAAACATTAATTAATCTTCAAGATGAATGTAAATTTAAAGTTTTTTTTAAGTTTTAGAAGGTGATCGGTTATAACCTATAACTAAATAAGTTTTCCCCAAAATACAATTTTTATAAGTTTAGTCACTTTTAAAGTTAACAAACTGTATGGAATTTACTCTGTAGATAGAAAATTTCCGATTGCGTATTGTTGACATTCATTGTAGTCAAATTTCATAATGGAAGATGTTTATTCTAAAAGTAACAGAAGTAACTAGATTGCAATGTTTTGTTTGTTTTGTTTTGTTTTTTTTTTTGTTTTTTTTTTAAAGAAAAAAAACAGGGATATGTTTATTTCTGTTTATTTAAGTATTAAGTACATTCAGTTGTCATATTTAAATAGAAAAAAATGTAGTAAGAAAGAAAACAAAAAATACACACTTCATTCCCTGTTTTGTTTTGTTTTTTTAGATATACAAAAAAAAATTGTTCATTTACTCGATCGCTTTACATTGTTTCTTTCTCAACATCTATACCGTCTTTATTTTCATATTAATACATCTTAACAAATAAAGGCAGAGAAAATCAAAGATTCAATGTTTTAAAATTTCACACAATTGCTGAACTTCGTTAGGTTTATGCAAAAAGTCAACACATTTCTCCCTTGCTCCCCTTATTCTAATATGAAACACGGGGATAGAAACCTTGTTTAGGCCGTTCGACAAAGGGGTGGATTCCGTAACACCACTTCCAAATGAATTTCGTCAAAGAGACAAGGATGATATTAGCTATTAGCTATGATACCATTTAATATGAGTTTAAATTCGATAGGGCTTCAAAATGTGTGCAACAGATGTCTTGAACTTCCAAAAAACATATTGTTCATGACGTCGCATGCAGGAGAAAATTCTCTAAACTAACCCACGCAGTAAAGTTAAGGTGCGCAATAGAAATATCGGCAATTTTTGTGATTGAAAATATATTCTTAATCTGGATGGCGATTCTTTTCAGTACTTGGTTGATATCCGACAAATATAATTATGGTTAATAACCACATATTGAGGACGATAAGATTTTATATCTAGCCCTGTCACGTGATGCGGCAGTCACGTGATATAGCACATATATTTGTAGTATTGAGGTCATCTATAAATTTCACTAGTGCAAGGACATAATCAAGTTAAAATTCTAAATTTAGAGTATAAATATTTTCAACATTCATCGTAGTGCTGCAATCCTCTATAGATTCTGCTATTTCATTGTTAAAATCAAATTTATATGACCGCATTCTGTATTTTTTACTGGTCAACGGCATTAAATATAGATATAATTAATTCATTTTCAAGATTTCACCAGGATCGCAGCACATTTCATATACCTAAATACTTCTAGAATTTATATGTAAAAGCTTACTGTGATCCATTGAGTGTATGCCCTTGCACTAGATCGATTTATTAAGACCCTTACATTACCCTCCGATGTATCGCCAAACCCCCTAACTCCGTCACTACCCTAACTTCGTCACTTTCGGGAAACTCCGCGCTGTTTGAAAACGAATGCGATTGTGACGTCATTTTTTACATGATGAAAATCTACAATCAATGCCGAGAAATTTTTACAGTCAAGTTCAAGAATACGTGAAAAATAAATAACAATTACACGTGATCTATTGTATCTATCATATTTTATGTGAAATCAGTAAGTACTTTTTCTTTTATCTATTCCATCGATACCTCCGACATGTGTGTCAATATGCTCATTTTTACATATCAGTCATATTTATGAAGGTATTTACCAAAGGAATAATATGACGTACCGTATTGAATACGGCTAAAAATAGTATATATTTCGTATCAATTTGCCCTAATACGCTACACGCTGGAGATAACAGCGTGACTTTATTACATATAAAATACGTTATATTAACGTTATTTTTTCTGTTGTTGATACTTTTCCTAAAATACAACTTAATACTATTTTAAATCTTTAAAAATAATTTTCTATATTTACAAGTTTAAGAAGAAGGGAGAAAAACTAAACTGGAAAAAAATTCTAATTAATACACTGACATATTGTAGAGGGCCCTGGTGACGGAGTTAGGGTTCACTGGACGTAATGTACACGGATGTGATACGCGTTCTATTTGTAACAGGGGGTTGTGTATAAATAACCACGCCTCTGTCAGGGTTCAGGTCTATTTTATTGACACAGTGAGCAGTATATAATATTAACATACATGTGTAGCCCTGAAATAAAATGAAACAACAATATTTTATTACATCAAACAAATCCTATTAATGCATCATTTATACATACATCTAGCTCTCATAGAGAACATATTGATAATGATATATTATAGATAAGATGCATATATACATTTACTCTCAATTAAGGGAGATAACTCTGACAACTGATACACAGACATTACATATTTTCTCCCATATAAAGGCATAAAAAATATTACTGATTAAAACAAATAGTTCCTCACCATTCTGCGGGAAAAGGCTTTACCACATGAATGTATGATGTCATAAACATGTATATGGACTCTGTAATTTACATGTAATACAGTATACATTAATATATATATATATATATATATATATATATATATATATATATATATATATATATATATATATATATATATATATATATATATATGACATATGGCTTTAGGAGACCAAGGAGGATATATTTTCTGGCTTAGGGAGACCACTGGATTAAGGCGACCTTTTTCGGTCTCCCTATTATTTTGACCTCATCAGTATTGCAAATGTCTTTTTATAGATAAATAAACAGTCTGCCATTAAATATTATTAATCTTTAACTCTGTTATTTAACATTCAAAAGTTGTCTAATTCCTATCATCTTCCCTAAAAAGAAAAGAATGTATAACCTACGTATAATTTCAAAGGATAATTTTTCTGCATTTTGGAGACCATGAAAAACATGCAATTAAACAAAAAATCTAGCATATATATTTTTTCCGCTTTTGATATGTTCAAATGAGTGTTTCTTTAACTTAGTTTTCCACTTTTTATGTTAAAAACCTAAAAAGGAAAAATATTGTAAATTTATGGACCATGTTTTGAATTCTTAGCAAGTGCTTTCCGTCATTTGTTCCGAATGCCATCGGAATGCCTCTTCAGTTTTCAGAAAATGACCTCTGAACACCATGAATGTTGAGAAATTTGGGTAAGTAACTAAAATGATACAGTAATAAGTTGTAATTAAGAATACGCAAGACAAACATTCGTGTTTTTTTTTTTTTTTTTTTTTTTTTTTTGTTTTTGTTTTGTTTTTTTGCCTAGTAATTTAGCTTTTAAGAGAAAAAGTATGATTTTAAATAATCATTAGACTATAGTTCGGTATATAAAATCCTGAAGGAAATTCGAAATAAAGTTAAATGATAGGCCCCTATATTTTTAATTCTTTTATGCAAGTCCACAAACAAATTGCAGAAAATATTTAAAGATTAGGCCGAACGTAGAAAAAAATAGTCTCGCAAGTTGACGCAGCTATGTCGAGCTTAAAAATTTAAATTAAACTTTCTGTAAACATCATGCAGGACATGATCATCATGATATAGTATAAATGAAACAGACCCTGTAAGAAAAAATAGCTGTAATTTAATAAATATTTATTAATATAATGTGGTCCTCTGCTGTTAAAATACATATGCAGTAAAAAAAGGGTGAAGCAGATTTGATACAATACATGGCTGAAGGAACGTACGAAATGAAACTTAGGTATACTATAGAAAACATTGCTCCTTTATGTTTGGACCCCCTCAATAATAACCTCGGATGATCTATTTTTTACTTTTGCTTTTGGCCCCCCTAAATAATAACCTCTGGTAATGTATTTTTCTTTTGCTTATTAAGAAATTTTTAGTTTGTAGGCTCCCCCAACCTGAAACTGAAAAATGTTGTTTGGTTGTGCTCACCCCCCCCCCCCCTCTCCAACTAAATTACGTACGGGCCTATTCTCCATCCCTGAGGTTTTCTTTCACCAAAGAAAGATTAATTGGTAACAGTTCAGATATATAGCAATATTTACGGGAGGGAATATTCTCGTTTAATTATGAAGATGTGACAGTAACTAAATGTTACACAGTGAGTGTAACATTTATTTAATATTATTGTAACAGTTAATGTTTACAAATAGTGAAATACTGATACTATGAAATTTTAATGGATATATAGAAAATATACAAGTACAACCATTATTGTAAACCACATACACGAAAAGCTTTTTTTTTTTCAAGCAATTGGAAATTCTTTACAAATCATTATCGCAGCCTAGTTCCCTTCATTATTTTCAGCAGTTCAGTGACAGAGATAAAATGATCATTTGGGGTTTATACCCCCCCCACCCCCCCCCACCCCCCCACCAAATGAAACTAAAAAATGTTTGGTTTTGGTCCCCTTCAACTGAAATTGATTCCTACTTACCATGCTTACAGGCTTAACTATGAAGATGTGACAGGGAGTGTAAAAACAATAATTGTTCAGACGGATACATAAGCTGATATAAATATCAAATTTTAATGGATAGATAGAAATTAATATACAATTACAACCATTTATTATAAACTACATAAAGATAATTTTTCAAGCAATTTGAAATTCTTCATTTTTAAGATAATATTGTATTTCGTATATATATGTTTATAGGTTTATTCGTATCAACAAATCTGTGTACGAGTTAATAACGCACCCTGGGTTCCCTGCATTTTCAGTGACAGAGAACCAGATATAAGAATGCAGGGAAACAAGCCTTGTTACAAGGTTTGAGGTTTGTTTATTTTATATTTTAATTTACACTTTTTTAAAATTATTATGCAAAACTCTGTGTGCAGATGAATATTTACATTTTAATGTTATAAGTCGTTTTGTGGTTCATTTATTTGCGGTGACTGTCCCACGTGTGTTTACCTGTTTACATTCACCTACTGACAAAATATACCTTCTGTAATCATGACTGTTGTAATCTTGTTTTTATGTTAGTTTACCATATGTAACTTGACTGTTGTATAGATTTATAGCGATCACTGCAAGCTTTTAATATTTAAGTGAAGAGAAATTTCAGACTATCAATCACAGGCACTTGTTTCATATACGGTGCACCCCTACTTATTTTTACCACAAGGTATCTAACTCAATTTTAGGCACCCTGCTTCAAGCTCGTATTTTGTTCATATATCAATCATTAACCTACTTTAAAATGACATTGTTCGCTTCATGAGACTTTTTTCTTGTCAAATAAATCGTTTCAGACGTCTCTGGTCGAGACTCTTTATTGTAGAGCACTCATTTATTCCTCGAAAATTACCTCGATACATTGTTAAATTTAAGACTTTAGATGGGATACAACTTCCAGTTGGGGTAGAATAAAACCAGAGACTTCCAAGTATTCCATTCCGAGGTCTCTGGTTTTATCCTTCATTTATAACCCCAACCGCAAATTTGTTTTGAAAATTACCTTGATACATCTTAAGACTTTAGATGATACAAATTTCATTTTTTTTCACAGGTCACAGGGTTTCAACTTAAAAAATAAAAATTCTCACCGTTAAGATATGTTGGTAATTTTAGCGTGATATGTTGATAATTTGCCAAATTATTATGTAATAAAAGGGACTTTATATGATCACCCGGCGCTGTCACTTTAGTTCAGTCTTCACAACAATTCTTTTTCAGCACATGCCCTTCGGGCATGTAGACCTATCATTTTTACCCAGCGCATTCAAATTTGTACATGCCCTACTCAAAATTCTTACATTTACCAGTATTGTGCTACAAAAAAAAAACATTAGGTATAAAGGTTTTATATTAATTTTTTCAGCATTGTATTTCTCCGTGACTGTACCACGTGTGTTTATTCACCGTGATTGCCATTTTCTAAAGCGTTTTTGTTCATTAATAACTTTTGAGTTGCATGCTGGTCATTTGTTGGCAGGTTTAGCTGAACTGAATTTCAGAAATGGGATCATGACTGTAGTGCCACAGTATGTGGCATCGATGAACGTCTCGTAATTTAGCAAGAAACTTCGAGAAAACAAATAGGTTAAACTAAACACTTCAATGATTAGATTGACAATCATTTGACAGGTCGTATCGAGAATGTAGACAGGCAATCCATCTAAGACATTACATATAGCAACGTTTACGGGAATAATGGGGGTAGGACAGAATAAATGGCAAGTAAAGATCGTACAATGAAAGAAGATTCACATATGCCCTCTTCGGACATGTAATTTGACAATTTTAACATGCCCAGCTGCAAATTTAACAGGTCCCTGGCATTGGACTCCCGGGTTATTTGGAAGACTGTTAGTTTAGTTTCATGAGGTCCGACAACATTGTTTCTCAATGTCTGCTCCCTCTACCCCATACACTTATCTTGATAAAATTATATAAATTATATTATTAATTACCCTGGTATATAAATTGTATAAACCGGTCTTGTTATAAATTATATAAACTGGTCTTGTTTATATAATTTTACAATGTCATAAACAGCTGCTTAAGTGCATATAATATTGTATTAAATGGATTTATATATAGGATTAGGGAAAGATCCTCACTTGATTATGCCAGCATATTTTGCTCGTAGGAGTTTATTATCTACCACACATGATCAATGTCACTTTTGGACGTGAATGACTTTTGACACCCTAACTTCAGTTCAAATCAACGTTAACTTTATGTGACGTCTTTCTGAATCTTTCTTGGCATGTAACTTGGGTAAAAACAATTAAAGTACTCTCGATGCATTTGATTTCTCTTAGCCCGTTTAAACATTTCCTAGGTCTATACCAGTTTTTGCAGGGGCGAAACTATATAGAAGTTGGAAAAGAAACCTATCCCCTTTTTGACGTATTTGGTTTTCAGGGGGTGAAAATTTTCAATGTTACACTCAACTACATGCAACATTTATTATATTATACTGAATGTTTTATACAAATACAAATAATAGTGAACCTTGAGCGCATAAATCTGCGCAGTCACTATTTTTTGGAATATCACCCGTCGTCAAGCAATGTTGACTGTTGCGACACTGGAGGGCGTGGCTTCATTATTCAGTGGGTAATAGTGCTTTTTAACAAATGTTTCTTGACGAATCAGATTGATTCATTTAATATACCTGAAAGTACAATATTAATTAATTGTCATCATTTTCCTATATTAGCTTTTTACTGGTAATGGTTTTGAAATGATAGGAACATGCACTGTTCAAAAAGTCTTAAAATGTTGTTTTGGCTCAATTTCTTTGTTAGATTACTGTGTTGAACTAAGGCAGGTCAATTAAAGTAACATGATCCAATAGATTCCATGTACATTTAGTACTGTAAAGTAGACAAATTTATTGTTCTCACAAATATTTCTCAAATATTGATTTAAGTTGGTCTCCTGAAGGATGTATTAATGCAATTGGTCTGCTTAAGGTATAATATAGACATGCATATTTTATTTTGAATTTGTATTATGTCAATCATTAGAAATATATGGATCTTAATTAAAAAACATTGTTTTTATTAGAATTTAAGATATGTATAATAGGCATATATTCTTCATGCTTTTCCATAATTAAGTCCTTTTTTACAGGGTCTCTGCTAGAATCATGTGGACCCCAGTGTAACACATCTATGGAAAGAGAGAAAATCTCAGCTCAAGGGTCAACATGTCTTTATTCCAAGAAAGGTAAATTGATAATTTTTTTCTGCTAAAATACTCTTTTATAAATTATAATATCAATGCAAAAGAATGAACAAACAACATACCTAACAACATTTTGAAAATGAAAGTGCAATAACAGTTAATAATTATGATCAATTGAATGAATGTTAGGCCAACTTTTTTTTATATTCTGTTTTACGGGAGCGCCGACCCTAATTTGGGCTAAAATGAAATAAAAATAAAAGTCCCCAATTCAAGTTTTATTTTTATTTCTCCCGCCGATAGTTTATTTATAGTCTCTGAAAAAATAAAAGAAATATAAATAACCTTTTTACAAGCCTTTCAAAATGCGATTTGTCATTGGCTGAGGTAAATAGATTCATCCAATCACAGTATTCGTTGCGTGAAGAGTCACTGCACAGCATAGCGCCAAAATGTCAGAATCGGAGGGTTTCACGTGTTTTTAAATAGTCAGTTTAAAAAGTGACGTGTCAATGTTATATATTAGAAAAAGTATAAATTTTAATGAAAGATTGAATGAAATAGACGAATCAGTGATCTTGATCAAATGTCATGCGGAGGGCCACGTGGAAATCGAGGTTCTGTCAACCGCTTGTTTTGAAAGGTTCTGAGTACGTATTATCTTTGACAATTGCTTCAATACATTGAAATACGTCTTGAAGATTTTTTAAACTTAATTTTAAGACAGAAATGTTTTCTTTTACAAGTAACGACAGAACACTAGAACTATGTAGAACTGGTAGAAAGTGGCGTGACTGAGGAAATTCGAGTCACAACTTTCACTCGTTTTATGACAAATATTGGAATTCAGAATTACCTACGAAGATATATCAGTATATATGCTTGATGCTTGATTGATACAAGACATTATCTCCTTTTTTATTGCTTTATGGAATTTTGCGTGCTATGTAACAAATTAATGTACATTGATTGTTCAGCGTATTCATATCAGCTGATGTAGTGTATATGTATAGCTCTTGTTTAGTAAAACAACTTTTTTTTTACCACTAGGGAAAAGTATTGTTGTAAATGATACGCCCTTACAAATATTATTTCAATTCAAGACCTGGTTTCTTTTTTCATTCAACAGTTGTGGATTAGAACCATTTTCAACAATTAAATTTTTAAATTCTGCAGTAAACAGAATATTGTCATGTGTATTTTACATGTGTATACTATGGGAAAGATGTGTATTTTCTACAATTATATTGAAAGTTAGCATGCTCAGAAAGAAAACATAAGGATAAAAAGATATATATACTACAGATTGAGGAAGTATGAATATGTTTTCAATAGAGATATTGTGGTACGTTTTTTCAACCTACGTATATATTAATTGGAAGTGCGTTGAAAAAAAAATATTATACAACTTTTCTTTTTTTCATGTCTCCTGTGCACTTCTGTGAATTAATTTATTTTAGCTGATCCATTGAATGTCTCACTGTATTTTCTACATAACTTTGCCAGAACTAGTCCAAAATCCTCAGATCTTGTAATTTGCTGAATACCGAAAAATAAAAGATTCTGAAAAGTTTATGAGGGGTGTGACAGAAGTCCTATAGGTTTACTGTGGTGACAATATGATATTTGACATTTGAGAGAAGACTATAGATTTGTATGTTTGATTTGCATTAATGTTAGAAACTGCAAGCTTTATACTAGAAATGCACCCCTGCTCCAAATATCTAAGAGAAAGTTAAATTTAAAATAGTTCATTGATCCATTAACAGTACCAATTTTGTGTTTTGTGTACATAAGTTTTTCAAATAGCACTGTTTTTCTAACAAATTAAGGTCATACAAATAAAATTCCAACCTTTATTAAAAATAAAAAATTTTATTGCATTTTTTCATTTTATTTTTATTTTTCTGACCGACTGCTTAAATTCCGAGCTTTTATTTTTATTTTTATTTCGACCCCCCGACTCAAATTTTTGAAAAAAATGCCCGTAAAACAGAAAATAAAAAAATGTTGGCCTTAATAATCCAATCAAAGTCCTTGTTGTATATCATTTTTGCTAGGGCTGTGTATTGAGCAAAAAAAAAGAAGAAGATCGACATTTTTTAATGCGATATGCAATATATTGGATTCTTTAACAATTCTGTCAAAAAAGTCTTATAAATCATTATGCATGAATTTTATAAAAATAATAATTGTTTTGCAACTCATTTTTAATTTTTTGTCTCACTGTCTTTAAAAATTACACTTCAAATTCAAACTTTTCTTGACTGTAAAATCAACATGCTAAGTAAAGTTGTCTATGTATTTTTATGATTTTGTAATAATCATCTAAGATGTGCTACCTCCTTAACGATTATATCATTTTTGATCAGTTTTAATTCAAAACAGTTAAATATAATCTTTGGTGATTGAAATTCCCAACTTTTTCACAGAATTACATAAAAAAACTGCCTGCCCAAAATGTATTGGAATTAAGTTATTTTTTGGATACGATATATTCATTAATCTAGATATGTATCAATATATTTGGTGCAGCCCTAATTATTGCTGGTTCATAAATAACTAAAAAATAAACAAATGCCAAATGTTGGCATGGTTGGCATTGCAACTGTATCTTACACATTCAAATCAGGCCATTCTTACAAGTTTTGAAACATGTTGGATTCTTCACTAGTGCCGCTACTACAGAGAAGACAGCTTGTTTATAAACTGTGTCATTCAAAGTTTCAGTATATATATGAGAAACACAACAAATCTGAATGCTTAGCCATTACACTAAATGATGAATCTACTTTATTGTGTTATTTATTGACATTTGACAATCATGATTTATAAATCATTTTGAAATTTTTAAAAACAAATTAAAGCAATTCCCATCAATTCCTCCCTAGACAAATATATTAATGATAATTTTTACAGCAATACCTTGCTGTAAATTTCAATTCAAGTGATTTGATTTTTGATTTTTTTTTGTTTGTTTGTTTGTACATTTATGGTTAATTTATCCTTAGAAAAAAATTAATAAGAAAGTAATTTTATTAAAATTTTATAACTTAAATAATGTCTAGATTCATGTATTGAATCATAAAATTGTTTTGAGAGATGTATCGTATCATAATGTCTGTGTATTATCCAAACCCAATATACCTACATATCACGATGTATCATTTCAGCATTTATTTGTTAGTGTTGTTTGATTTGTTTTGTATATGCCCTTTCCTGCTCAGAAAGCAGAAAGCAGAAGTTCTTGCTTCATAATTGTCACTCAAGACCTGAAACTGTATTAGAAATCTGTATGACGTGTGAAATTTCATATCTGTTTTGACATAGTTGTTAATTTGTATAACAAAATGCAATAATACAACACAATTGATTTAATAGCATTAATTTTTGTATCAGCAAAAAAAAAAAAAAAATATATATTTTCCCTATACCTACTGACCCAAGTGTTTAAAGACTCAATCGGCAATGCCAAACCAACAATTTTTTAATTGTGGCCTTATCCACTGATATTTCTTTTGTTCTGATTCTTAGTTTCTTTTGTTCTGATTTTTTGCTCATTGAAAAAAATTGACGCCTTTTCTTTAATTCCTTAATTTTCAAGTTGAAGAGTGCATCCCGACAATCAGTTATGATGTTACAGTGTCCACTGTCCAATCCGACAACTGTGCAATCCAGCACACTGGACTTTCCGACCATTAAAACTTAAATATTTTATTCCCAAAAATTTCTTTATAATATATATAGAATAAAACACTGTATATTCCGACCACTGTACATTCCGAATTCTGGTGCTTTTTGTCGACAAGACTAGATAATTACCTTATGATTTTACCTGGGTAATTCGACATAATTATACATTTGTACCATAATTAGTCGCTAGTTCCATTTGGGCACAAGCTTGGTCTACTTAGTAGTTAATTACATGTATTAGTTTGATGGTGTTTATATAAACAATAAATGAACTGTGTTTGAATTTAAAAATTAGGCAATCAGTACTCTTCGTTGTTATCAATTTTATTCTCGCATTGACAAAATAGCATCCACGCGATAGAAAATAAAAAGGAGTACCTGATATTTAGATTGCCTTTACCTAACAGAATAAATAAGATTTTTTGCTTGAAATTGAAATCAAACATGCAGTCAGAGTCCTTTAAAGTCATGTCTCCCTAAAAAATGAGTACAGCAAACTACTGTATAACATGTAGACAACACACAATTTGAAGACAGCATCTCGTCTAATAGAAAATGTTTCATTTCCGGGTTAATATACACTGAATTAAGTGAGACTGTGCACATAAAAGATTTGCAGGAAGCAAAAAACTTCCACTTTAAGTAGACCCATTAAATTTTAAAATGTTAATGTTGTTTGATAAAAATTAAATCGCAATAACAATGTTTTAGAGGTACGTCCCATTTGTTTGAAAAGTCACGAGAGGGTATTAATAGCACAGTCTATCTTGAGAAGTTAACAATGCAGAAAAAATCGGAGAGAAATGTAGTGTAGAAAAAAAAATAAAACCACTGTTTACAGAAGGTAGACAAAATATTTAATATCTACTGTTAGTAAGTAAAATGCTAAAAATTAAATTGCAACAACTCGAAGTGATTGGCAGTTCCATCTGTTTTGCACGTTTAAAAGAAATTATCGTATATTACTACAGAGTTTACTAGTGCTGTAACAAATGATGTGTCTCAAAGAAATGTTAATCAGCCGAAGGTATATTTTATACAACAAAGAAACACACACACACACACACTTTGACAATTAAATACACATGTACTCTAAACCTAACGAAAAATGTTTTTTTTTTTTTTCTGTATGAAGTCACCTGACATTTATCATAATGCTCAGAAATATTCAACACTGGGTAATCCGACACACTGTCTAATCTGACATTGATTTTATTCCCCTTCAACATGTTGGATAAGACAGGTTTCACAGTATATCAATGACGTAATGTATGCAATATATAAATAACTGTCCCACCTGCCTGCTAATGTGGAAACAAAACTTCCCTCCATAACAAAAGAGTGCACCAATGGAGATCATTCGGCAAACCTCGGCTGATTCCGTCACCTTCATCAAACGTTTGATGAGGTACGAATCGGCCGAGGTGTGCCGAGTGCAATGGAGATAATCTCGAAACTTGTGTAGTAAGATCAACTCCTAACAATGCACCACTTTTCAGCATTTATATTCATTGCTTAAGGGTTTATTCTTACTAATGAAATAAGTTGTGGTGATGCCTATATTTACTGTAAGACATTTGTAATAATGAAGCATTTGTGAGATGTACCCTTTATCAGTTATTTACAAACAAGGCATTTGAAGAGGATGAGCACAGTGCATTCTTTTTATCTGCATGAAGTTAAGGTGATTTTAAGCAAAAAACATTTCTTGTCCATATTTAGAAAGCAAAATATTTTGACTTAGTTTAAAGTTTTATAAACCCATTAAACTTGTTAAAAAATTAAGTATGTAAACTAAATTTTGAATAAAGAGTTGGTCCTCTGTGTAAAACTTGCTCTGTGAGCAAGTTGGAATTACAATGCCTTTCACGATTCCTTCACAAAAAATGGGGTGATGACCCACAATATTAAAAAATGTAGATTAAACATCCTATTTATGTCAGTTATTGTATTAAATGAGCTTTCAACCATTTTATGCTTTATGGTTTTAAATAATATTTTATATTTCATAAATTAGACAGTGAAATTTGCAAAAAAAAAAAAAAAATTATTGATTTTTAAACTGTTGTTACATTTAGGAATGTGGGTATATGTACATATCCTGTTCAAGTCTTTGTGTATCACATTATATCATGATATACTTCAGACAAATTAGTACACCCGTAGTTTTGAATACAATTCATACATTGATTTCATTTGCCGCAATGGTCTCTTTAATATTGCAATAATGCATTTGGTCTTCCTAATGCATGTATAATGCAGGTACTGTATATACTCTATGTCCAACTTATAGGTGAGTCATAAAAAGATTAGTATTTTGAAACCAGGTTAAAACATCAGAGCATTGATTTGAAATTGTCAATTGATTCTGGCAAAAAGTTGTACCGATTTATAAGCGGGTCAATAGCAAATCCCTCCAAAATAACCTCAAAAAATACAACTGATTTATAGGCAGACCACCTTATAGGCGAGTATATACAGTATAGTTTTTGTTGAATTTTGCTAACAGCAAAACACTATGAATAATGAATTTTGGAAAAAAAGATTATTAAGTTTAATGATGCATGTATGTAGTATAGAAATATTGTTCATATGCCTGTACATGGTACAAATATGCATTTTACAGAGTGTACATATGCCAGAATCATATGGACCGCAGACTGGCCCTGGTGATTCCGTTAAGAAAAAAGAGGAAAAATCAGTGCTTGTGCTCATTGGTCATTGGACAAAGGTAAATAGATTTATTTCATGAAACTAAACATGTAAATTACTAGGATATTAAAATATCACAATTAAAATACATGTACTGATTTATGTATATATGGATATCAGTTGGTCTCCTTGATGCAGTTATATGCATTTGTTATCCCTTTTAAGTGGATCTTTTAAATATTATGCAGTTTATTTAGAAGCTCTTTATTATCTGCACTGTTCACTTTTACAGGGTGTATGCCAGAATTTTTTGAAGAACAGTCTGAATCTGACATGGAAAAAATGAAGAAAAACAGCCTTCCTGTTTATAAATCTACATTCTGACAAAGGGTAATTTTGTTTAGTTCAATTAGAAGTGCACATTTAATTTCAGTTGCTTTCCTTAATGATATATTATAGCATTTTTATTCCCTTATGAACAATATGTATACTTGTAAAGCATGTATCACAAAATCTTCTGCAACAAAGTTTTGGGTGTATATTGCTTGTTGCTTAACGTCCCTCTTGAGAATTTTTCACTCATATGGAGACGCCACCACTTGCTGGTGGAGAGCTGCAAATTTTTGTCCTATACTCAGCACTTACGGCCATTGAGCATTGAGGGATCTTTATCGAGCCAGCACCTACTGTGACACGGGACCTCAGTTAATACGTCTGTCTCATCTGAAGAACGGGTCTCCACATTCCACAGTGGGATTCAAACTCGCTTTGTAAGGATCAGCTTCTTTCTCCGCGACTCTAGAGTAGACGCTCTAACCACTGCATCTGCTCTACTTTGGCAACTTTGGGTGTATATAAGCATGGTTGTATATAAGCATAGGAATCATCATGTCCATCTGTCTGTTCATGTGTTTGGCCACTTGTGTGACTAGCTTTTTTGTTCCAATTCTGGCTGAGATAAATTGATTTAGGTCATCTAAATACAAACAAATTAAGGGAAATTACTATGGTATTGGGATGAACATTTTGGAATACTGTCTCATTGTTCCATTGTAGTTGGTCTCTTTAATGTTGTAATAATGCATCTGGTCTTCCTAATGTATGGCATACACTGTATGCATGTATAATGTTGTTAAAGTTGGATGAATGTAAAACAGTTCTTGCGTGATGACAAAGGTAAATAGATTTAGTTCATGTAACTAAACATGTAAATTACTAGGGTATTAAAATCTCTCGTTTTGAATACTGATTTACATGTGGAGAGTAGTTGGTCTCCTTAATGCAGTAATAATACATTTGATCTTCCTTATGCATACTGCATATTTATTTTTATATAAATTTAATGGCTGACATGTATGAGGGTTGATCCAAAAGTTTGTTGAATTTCTTCATATTTTATTTATTTATTAGTGAAAGAGGTTGAATACTGATTTAGATGTGGATAGTAGTTGGTCTCCTTAATGCAGTAATAATACATTTGGTCTTCCTTATGCATACTGTATATTATATAAATTTATTGACTGACATGTACGAGGGTTGATCCAAAAGTTCGAGGAATTTCTTCATATTTTTAGGTCACCTGAGTAACTCAGGTGACCTATTGCTATCCGTTTTCGTCCGTCGTCGTGCGACGTACATTAACATTTGAACATTTTTAGCTTCTTCTCTGAAACCGCTCAACCAATTTCAACCAAATTTGGTATATAGCATCTTTGGGTGAAGGGAGAGGGCAAACAAACATTATTTTAAAGATTGCCTTAGCATGTTGTTTATTCTGTGCATTTATGGCAATTAATATTAAAATCGTCCAGACCTGTTAAAACCCATGGATGTCCACAAAAATGTTACTCAAATCAAATTTCATGTTAAAATTCGAAGTAAATATAAATACCTGTGTAATTGTATAATGGTGTAACAAATGTTTAAGAATGCCATATTTAAATTTCAAAAATTGCTCTAAATGTGCATGAGATAAATATCTAAATGCTGTGAAGAAGCACTGTGCTACAATTACCATATTAAAGAAGTGATTTTAATGAAATCTTGTTTCTAAAAAACCTGTAGAAAATTTAAAGAAAATTAGAAATCACGATTCTTACCCCAAAACCATCAGATGGTATGAAAGCCTTCAAACAATGTGTTTTACATAATTCGCATTTCCAAAAACTGTGATCATTAATTTGCCGACCTATTATTGTATGTTCTAATGAAGGAGAATTCATGTGCAAACTTCTACATGAGAAGAATAAAAGTATTGCCGTGTCCTGCAAGAAAACAAAATCACATTATATTATCAATTGCAGATGGTGTCTACGTCTTTCAACTAATTTTGCAACGGCAAGAGTATCTTCTATGTAGTAACTGTTTTGAACCAAGACATCCTACTGACAACTAAGTCCATGATACAGAGCTTTCTACTGCCTTGTTTAGAATTTTACATGTCGAGAAATTTATGGTCAGTGTAATGACCTTGTTTGCAAATCTAAATCTTCATTACGTCGAGTTTAGACTTGCATGTGAATTTCATGGTCCCTGTCCCCCTGGGGCCTGAGGGGCGGGGCTAAAACCACCAAAAATAATGCAATCTTTAAAAATCTTCTTCTTTACTCCTGGACATCAAGCAGTCAAACTGTTCGCATCATTGTAATAAGCATTGAGCCCTCTACCAAAATTTTGAAATTCATGGCCCCAGGATCAGGGGTTCTGGTGCTAGGATGGGGCAATATAGATCATATAGTGAAAGTGCATTATTTCTTTGAAAATCTTATTCTCTGCTCCTGGGTATTAAATAAAGTAACTAAGTACATAGTTATGAAAAGCAAGACTGCCTCTTCCAAAATTGTGAATTTCATGGCTCCAGGGTCAGGGGTTCTGGTGTTAGGGCGGGGCTCTATTGATTATATAGTGAAAATGCATTAATTCTTTGAAAATCTTCTTCTCTGCTCCTGGGTATTAAATAAAGTAACTAAGTACATAGTTATGATGAGGAAGAGGGCCTCTTCCAAAATTTTGAATTTCATGGCTCCAGGGTCAGGGGTTCTGGTGTTAGGGCGGGGCTCTATTGATTATATAGTGAAAATGCATTAATTCTTTGAAAATCTTCTTCTCTGCTCCTGGGTATTAAATAAAGTAACTAAGTACATAGTTATGATGAGGAAGAGGGCCTCTTCCAAAATTGTGAATTTCATGGCCCCAGGGTCAGGGGTTCTGGTGTTAGGGCGGGGCTATATTGATTATATAGTGAAAATGCATTAATTCTTTGAAAATCTTCTTCTCTGCCCCTGGGTATTATTTAAACAAACTAAGTACATTGTTTTGATATTCAAGATTGCCTCTTCCAAAATTGTGAATTTCATAGCCCCAGGGTCAAGGGTTATGGTGAAAAAGGGGGAGGGGCTCTATTGATTATATAGTGAAAAAGCAAAATTTCTTTGAAAATACTCTTTTCTGCTTCTGGTTAAAAAGCAAAGAAGCTAAGCATATAGTTATGATGAGCATGATTGCTTCTTCCAGAGTAGTGAATTGCATGACCCCTGGGTCAGATGTGCTGGTGTAATGGTGGGGCTCTTGATGATATAGTGAAAATGCATTAATTCTGTTAAATAATCCTGTCTGCTCCTTAGTGTTAATCAGATAAACAAAGTGATTACTTACATGTATGATGAGCAAACTTCTGGTCCCAGGGTGAGAGGCTCTGGTGTTTCTAGGTGTGTGTGTGTGGGGGGGGGGGGGGGGGGGGCTCTATTGATAATATAGTGAATCTGTAGTAAAAAATGCATTATTTCTTTGAAAATCTTCTCTGCACCTGGGCATATCAGAGGCAAAACAAGTAAAAGTTTTCATAAAGATTTTTGAACATCTGGCTTCGGGGCCACCAACGTATAAAATCTGAGCTCAAATCTCAACCTCAAATCTTAGATTTCTGCCTCAGCTGAGATTTTCCTAAAACATCATGCCACCAACATCTCTGAGATTCGATCATCTCACGTAAGCTGAGATTTGAGAAAAATCTTGGACTTATTCTCGTTGTTATATACGACCTTTTTTTTCTGAAAATGCATGAATTTGTTGAATCAATGATTGAATTTACCTTTTAGTCAGTTATTTATGCAATATTTTAGTGAATATCACGAAAAAACACATCCCACACTTCCTTCGTCTTTTATTTGTTGTTTCGAGTCATTCAACAAAGAGGATTCCATTTCGACATTTGCGACAATTTTCATTGAACCCCCCGTAAAAAATCCCTACAGAAGAATAACACAAAAACATATCTAAACTTTGTAGTCTTGGTTCGTCTGTCGACATAAACACACAAAAACATACACCGAGGCGTCACTTCCACCATTGTGACGTTACATGTAGCAGGTAGGCGGATCAAGACTATATTCCCCAGACTGATTAAAAGAAATCATTTTTCTTTGTTTGTTATATATGTTAGATATATCTGTATAATTCTTAATTCTCCATAGCAAAAAAAAAAAAAATATGAGTCATAGGGACTATTTAAATTTAGAATAAACCTGAGTGAATTTTTTTTCTAGCAGATCCACAAAAAAAAAAGCTCAGTAGGCCTATATCATGTAAATTTCTCACATGCTGTAATAAATTTCGCGAGTATACCATAATTGTGGAAAAACAGCAAACATATCCAGGAGCAGGTAACATACGCATGCTTAGTTTTACAGGATTTAATTTATCAAGGAAATTTCTCGAGGAACTGTTTAATTGTCGGTGAATTTCAGCTCATATCCCCCCAGAAGGAAGAAAAACCGGCTGAAATTTGAACTAAGGGCATGTATAGGGAAGCGGCAAACTAACACATCGCATTTTTCTACGATCCCCTGTGACAAAATGTCTCGGAAAGTCTTCTTTTTTTTTTTTAGATAAATAATAAACAATGAATATAGCACCACTTGAAAAATAATCATCGTTGCATTGAAAACCCAAATCAATCTCGCATACGCTCATTGATTAATGAGAAACTGATTAATTTCTAATTGTATCGTAAATAAAAGTTTCACTGCGTAATGATGTAATTTAAAAAAAAAAAAAAAAGAACCTACGGATCATACTTTTTTGCTTCAAAATGTAAGTTGTCGTACTAAAAAATACTGTTTGTTAAAAAAGAATCTATTCTTGCAAGTACTATAGCTAGCAAGTACATTTGAATAGATGCAGTCCTTCTTGTGATTTATACATGTATTTCAGAATGGTCATAAGTCAAGTTTATTCTTATAAATAATATAAATGGTCAAGGATTTAAGTACGCACAATACATTGTGAGTATAAAGTCGATCCAAATTCTCAATCAAGAATTTTATAGATTTAATTAAGAACCAAATTAGACAGACTGCTATCATCTGTAATAAATAAATGGCGATTTACAT